ACTCCTGGTTTCAGCTCAGGTCATGATCTCAGGGTTGTGGGATCGAGCCCCATGTCGGACTCCTCACTCAGTGTGGAGTCTGCTTCAGATTCTTTCTCCCTCCCCCTCTGCCCCTCCCTGATCTCTCTCTCTCTCTCCCCACCCCTCAAATAAATAAAATCTCTAAAAAAACATTTGTGCCAGGCATATTATTGCTTTGAGAATGCAGAGATGAGAAACAAAACAACTGCCTTCTCTCATAAGGCTCAGAGTCTAGTGGGGACTCAAGGACACATGGACAAATAATTACGACACTGAATTATTTAAATGGGCAGAACTGGAAAAATTTTTATAGCAATGTTTACAGTTCACTTGTAGTAAAATTACTGAAAAACAAACTTAAGAGGCTTTAAAAGCCTTAGCTGTGTGAACAGTGTAGTTCATACCTAGACTAGGTTTCTGTGAATCTGACACAGAGAGTTAATGTAATTCAGATGAAAGTTCCCCTCTTTTCCTTATCATAAATAAACTTGGCATTAGTTTATTGGGTGATTGAAGTCAAAGCAGTCAGACTATTTTGCCAAAATGATCAGGATGAGTAGTTCAATTATTCACTTCACTTGCCTGTGAAGACTTCAGAGTGCTGTGATCTAATGAATGAAATGAATGTCAACTTGGAAGATTTGTGTTAAAATATGTTAAGACATATATATATTTTAAAGATCTTATCCATTTAGGGGCACTTGGTTTTAAAGTTATATTCAATATTAACCTATTTTTGGGGTGCCTGGGTGGCTCAGTCGGTTAAGCGGCTGCCTTCAGCTCAGGTCACGATCCAAGGGTCCTGGTATAGAGCCCGGTTCTCCCTCTCCCTCTGCCCTTCCTCCCTGCGCGTGCTCTCTCTCTTTCAAATAAATAAAAGATTTAGAGAGAGGGCACACGCAGGGAGGAGGGGCAGGAGAGTGGGGAGCCCAATGTGGGGCTTGATCCCAGGACCCTGGGATCATGACCTGAGCCGAAGGCAGCCGCCTAACCGACTGAGCCACCCAGGCGCCCCCAAAATATGTTAATATTGAATATAACTTTAAAACCGACATTTTTGGAAAAGTGTTTTCCATTTACAGGCATACCTCATTTTATTGTGCTTTGCACATACTGCATTTTTTACAAATTGAAGGTTTGTGGAAACCCGGTGTCAAGCAAACAGCATCTTCTCACTTTGTGTCTGGGTCACATCTTGGCAATTCTCAACAGTATTTCAAACTTTTTCATCATTATTATATTTGTTATGGTGATCTGTCATCAATGACTAAGAATCGCTGAAAGCTCAGATGGTTAGCATTTTTTCGCAATATTTTTAAATTAAGGAACATACATTATGTTTTAGACTTATTACTGCACACTTAATAGACTACAGTATAGTGCAAACAAAACTTTTATATGCACTGGGAAACCAAGAAATTCATTTGATTTGCTTTATTGTGGTGGTCTGGAACTGAACCCAGAATATCTCCAAGGCATGCCTGTATAGACATACGCCGCTCTCCCACTGGTTGGCTGGGAAAATACTTTTTCTTGTTCCTTTAGTTATACGATGCCCCCAACCTACTGCATGGCTTTGGATTAGAAAAAAAGGTTAAAAAAAAGAAAACAGTAAAGGATTAAAAATCCACATAAACATAGCTTCAGTCCCCTTTCTGTCAAGTAGAAAATAGACAATTTTGGTTTGCTGAGACCATGGCTTTGAACTGGGGAGGAAGTCAGACTAAAGACACTGATTTGCCTTAAGATGTATTGGTCTTCCTGGACTTGCTGACCTGAGTACACAACTGTGAAAATGTCTGAAAACCAAGGAAATGGGATTGGGATCACGATATTGTAGGAAGTGAGAGCATGGACAGACATGCATATTCACCAAATATTTCTGGTTCATCTACCTTCCTGTGAGGTATTTGATAGGATAGCATCTCTTTGTTGTGGGATCATGTGACTGTTTCTGGCCAATGGGGTGGCAAGTCTGGGGTATTTGACCAGAGATACTCCCTACTTCTCTTTCCTTATAATAATCAGCAACACATGAAATATGGTTTCTTCAACAGCCTAAATCTACTGACTACTGTGAACATAGCGCTCTGCTGAACCACAGTGGATGCGTATCATTTGTTTTTAGCAGAGAATTGGAAACCTTCTTCCATAAAGTATGAGTATTTTGGGTTTTGTACACCATACTGTCTCCGTCACAACTACTCAACTCTGCTCTGCTGTGGCATGAAAGCAGCCATAGGAAAGATATACATGAATGGATGTGGCTGCACCCGCAAAAAAGCTTTACAAAAACAAACACTTGGCCCTGGGACTATAGTGTGTAGACCCCTGTTTTGTCACAGACCTTTTAGGATTGTTACTGCAGCATAACCTAGCCTATTTTGAACATCTTTTTTAAGATTTTATTTATTTGAGAGAGAGAGACATAGTGAGAGCAGGAACACAAGCAGGGGGAGTGGGAGAGGGAGAAGCAGGCTTCCCGCAGAGTGGGGAGCCCGATGTGGGACTCGATCCCAGGACCCTGGGATCACGACCTGAGCTGAAGGCAGACGCTTAACGACTGAGCCACCCAGGCGCCCCAAACCTAGCCTATTTTGATATACTGGGGCTGTGAGATGGCCCCCCAAGTGAGAATCTTTGTCACCTGTGTTGTCATCTTTCCTGCTCCCTCTCAACAATCTTTCCCTTTTCCTTGAAGAAAAGCCTAACTGAGCTGTGGGTCTGTATGCTTCTATAACTGTTACTGTATGCTGTGCTCATGAGAGGCACAAGAGGCCTCTCTTTCTCACAAGCCCTCTTTAGCTCAAACCTGAATCCTTCATTAGAGGTCTCCAAATCATTGGTTTCCATACTTTAGAATCCAGGAGGGGGTGTTAAAAACAGAGTGCTGGGCTCCACCTCTGGAGTTTGTCGATCTGGGGAGAATTTATCTAGTAGAATATTTCATGTCTGATCTTAAAGACATTGGTCAAATTCTAAGGCATAAAGCAGTGATTTTTTTTTTTTTTCCAAACTTCAATGTGCATGCAAAGCGACTGAGGATCTTGTTAAAAGGCAGATTAATACAGTAGGTCCAGGGTAGGGCCTGAGGTTTTGATAGTGATGGTGGTCAGGCTGAGCATACTAAGAGAGATGCAAGGGGTTAAAGGATTCTAATCTTCCTTTCTAGCCTCTAAGTGTAGCACAGTACCGGGGCTTCAGTCTTGAATAACCTTAGGTCAATTTTGACTTCTCTCACACCTTACAATTTGTTAGCAAATCTTGTTGGTTCTATATGCAAAGCATCCAGCCACCTGTCACCACCTTCACTGTAACACACTGATCTTGGCCACCACCATCTCTGGGCCATATTATTTCAACAGCCTCCTTATTGGGCTCCCAGCTTCTCCTCTTGCCCCACTCTCCCTCCTACCTCTCATCCACACACATGGTAAAGTCTTTACCCAGGGTGATCACGTCACTTCCCTGCTTAAAATTAAAACTATGTATGCGGTGACTCCCCATTTCCCTCAGCAAAGGCCAAAGTCCTTGTGATGACCTGGCAGGCTTCAAAACACTGGACCTCTTTTTTGTCTTTGACCTCATCTCCTACTCTCTGCTTCAGCCACTGGGGCCTGCTTGCTGTTCTTGAACCCACCGAGCACACTCCCATCTCAGATCCTGAAACTTGGGTGTTCCCTCTACCTGAAAACTCTTTCTCGAAGATAACTGCTTGGCCTCACGCCCTTCAGTTTTGCCTCAAAGTGCCAGTAAGGCTTGTCCTGACCACCTTGTTTGGTTTTTTCTTCTGTACCATTTCACTGACATTTTTCTTTTCCACACTTAAAATGAAATTCCACGAAGATATTTTTGTTTTGTTCACAATCTCTAGCGTTAAAGAGTTCCTAACATATATTAAGGTGCTCAATAAATATGTGAACGAATATATAACATACTTCGCAGCTAACTGGAATATCTTGAGGCTGGAGTCCGCTCTCGTTTCCCTAGACTCCCTAAGGATACACTGTTGCCAGCCAGTGTTACTCATTTTATTCCCTAGGGAATAGTGGGGTTTGGTAGATTCCTCTTCAAAATCCTTTTTCAGAGAATTTAAATTATAAATTGGTCATTTACTGTTGTCATACATTATGCGGCTGAAATCTCTCACTGATTATGTTCCTTTAATACATTTTCTTGCAGCACTTGGCTTATTTTCCGTTCACTGTCCACACCCACCCCGCCCCTAGTTTAATTACAGGACTGGAATAATTCTCTTGGAGCAAAAAAGTATTTTTGTTTTATATTCATTCAACATTCTCTTAAGAGTATTAGGTAAATTCGAAACAAAAAGACAACAAAGTCTAATTTGTAATACTCGGGCTTATTGGATAAGTGTCATCTTAAGATAGAAGACTATTTTTAACCCGAGTCCAGAGTTACAAGACTTTTAATAAGCCACCCATCTTGCTCATTTCCAACGCGTCCTACAGAGGACGCCTAGGTTACCTACCGGGTGATTGTTTTGTGGGGAAAGCGGCGAACTGTCTTTTTTCAAAAGACCTTTTGGGGTGTGTGAGTTTGCCTGCTCTGCATACAGAAGGAATTCTAGAAGCTGGGATTGCACCACCCACCCCACGCACCCTTTACTTGCAGAAACCTTTGCCCCCCCCCCCCCCCGCAACCCCCCCATTAGGGCTCTTAAGAGGGCAGACGCCAGCTCCGATCCAGCTGCTTGACACCTATTGTCCCCGTTTGGATGTCAAGCGACTTCGCCTGAAGGACCCTAGCCTCGATTTCGCTCCAAACTCTACGCGCCGCTCTTGCAAACCCCCCGGGGCCGTCCGGACCTGCCCAGAGCAGCCGCCCCCCAAGGACTGGAGCTAGGGCAGCGCGGTAAGAGGCCAGGTGGGCCTTTCCCCGCAGGCGTTCGCGCCGGGCAGCCCGAGCGGCCGCGAAGGCCCCCTCCCGCAGCTTCTCCCGCCCCCTCCGCCCCAGAGGGCCGGCTGGCTAAGTCCCTCCCGCTCTCGGCTCTCCGCCTCACTAGCAGCGGCTCTCGGTGCAGCGGGGATAGGGCGAAGCGGCCTGCGCCCACGGAGCGCACGACACTGCCCGGAACGCACAGCCACCCTTGCCCCCTCAGTCGCCCACTCGGGATCTCCAGCGGCCTCCGCGCGCGCACGGTGAGCGCCACCCGGACCGAGGCGCTGACGGGGAAGAGGGCCGCTGCCCCGAGTGTCCTTTACCTCCGGATCGGCTGGACCTTCTCGAGGGGCTTGCTCCTCAAGTCTCCCCTCCCCCCCAACCCCCTCCCCCGGTCATTACCAGTGCCCTTCTCCACCCTTCTCCGCCTCTTAGCCCCGACCTCTCTCCTCCCTCCCTTCCTCGCCAGGGACGAGTGCCGGCCCACCCCGGCGGGGACCGTTGCACTGGCCGTTGGCGGCCGGCGCTGCGAGGCCCCGCCCCCGGCGCGAGCCTCGGTATCCCGGGGCGGGTAGGCCGACCGGCGGCCCGCGCGGGGGAGGGGCGGGGCGGGGGGCGGCGCGAGGCCGGGCCGGGCGCCCCGCTGGCGGGTCGCGCGCGCGTCCTCGGTCTCTTCCTGCCCTTGCGGCGCGCGCCGGCCCCGTCCCCACCCCCACCCGCTCGCGCAGGCTCCCGCTCGCTGCGCGTTTTGTCCCGCGTCTCTCCCCGTCCGCCGCCTGACTCGCCGCTCTTGTCCTCCTTCCTCCCGCTTTTTCTTTCTTCTCACGGTCTAAAGATGCCCTCGGCCACCAGCCACAGCGGAAGCGGCAGCAAGTCGTCCGGACCGCCACCCCCGTCGGGTTCCTCCGGGAGTGAGGCGGCGGCGGGGGCCGGGGCAGCTGCGCCGGCTTCCCAGCACCCCGCAACCGGCACCGGCGCTGTCCAGACCGAGGCCATGAAGCAGATCCTCGGGGTGATCGACAAGAAACTTCGGAACCTGGAGAAGAAAAAGGTGCCAGGAGTTGGCGGGGACGGGAGGGTTGGATGCTCCGACCCTGACTGCTGTGGCCTGCCCTCTTCCCGTCCCTGGCGCATCCCCTGCACTCACCCCCACCCCCCACGCCCGGCCCGCTCAGTAAACGGAGCTTGGAGCCCAGAAAACGGGCTCCTAGGGGAGGTGCTTGTCACCTGACCCGGACGCGGCGCTCACCCCCTCCCCCCGCTCCGCCCGGGGCGCTTTATTACTCTCCGCCGGCCGTGGGCCAGGTTTTTTGGCCCTTGGGAGTGGGATGCGTGAGGGCGGGGGCCTGTCCTGTCGCGAGACTGGACTGAGTGATGCCCTTCTCTCCGTCACCGAGGCCCGATTTCTTTGACGGAGGGCCAGCGGGGAGAAATGAAAGGGGTCCCGGTGACGGGGCTCAGGCCTCAACCGACCGCCTCGTGGAGTTGGGGCGGCCTGCGTGCGTCCTGTAGCCGTGGGATTGGTCCGCTCCGTTACCGTGTACCTGAGGCCTATTCAGTGTCTCTTCTCCTCTCGGGAGGGAAGCGTGTTTAGGATCTTCACCTAGAATTGCTCCTCTATCAGGCCCCTTTTGAGTGGGTCTTCTATTTGCTGCCCACCCCCCCGCCCCCCTCTGATGGGCGCCCCCACGTTTCCTTCTTTGTTTCAATTGTCTAGGTGCCCCCCTGAGCCTCACGCTCAGCTCGATCCCGAGAAGATTTTCTGCAGCGGCTCTTTGCCCCTCCGGGACGCTAAAGAGGGACGGGAGGGAGACTGCCACGATTGAGATTCGTTGGGGGGCGTGGGTCCGGGTTAGACCGAGGGGATCGCTAGGTCTCTGGGCACATGGAGAGAGCGTCTAACATGGCGGCGGCTGCGAGGAGAGGGAAGCGCTTTACAGGAGCTGCATTGTGAGCACAAAGCGAAAGCAGAGGGGGAGGGCAGAGACCAGGCAGCCGCCCGGGCTGGCCTTCCTCGCCGCCCCCCCCCGCGCCGCTCCTCCAAAAAACAGTCAAGCCACACCCACAATTTTTTGGATTCAATAGTTGGCCATTCTAGGTCACACCGTGAGGTTGATCTTCAAGTAGGCATTTTGTTTTATGCTTTCAGTGCAGGACAGTGTACCAACTCTTTTTAGAGCGACACGTGTGTGTGTGTGTGTATGTGTGTATGTATGTATATGTGGGTATGTAGAGAAAGGGTCTCGGTAGAGTGAATAATTCAACCTTCAGTAAGACTGGAGGTGGAAAGGAAGAAGCAAATCAGTAGTACAAAAATGGGGTAATTACATCTGTGACTCTTATGCATACTTTTTGCCTTTTACCTTAATAACTTTGCTTGGATAACTTAGGCTTGTTTGCTTCTAGTAAAACATATTTATTATAACATTCTGAATTTTGACGAAGTCATTTCAGAATGTTTATTTAGCCACCCACCTAACAGTGTTACTTAAGATGTTGAGACTAGCTAAAATTTGGGCAATAACAAATAACTTGAAGAAAATGGTGTAGGCCATAATTATTTTAATTGCTTGTTCTGTGATTTATTTTATATTTTGGGGGGAGTTTTAAAACAAACATTTTTAGATTTGATACTAATCTGTCTCATTTTTCCTATTGGGAATTTTACTTGAATTTCTTCGGTTTTATTTGAAATCGAGAGATGCACTACTTGTGGATGTCTATCTTTTGGTGATACTTTATTTTGATAAACAAGTGTGGTTTATTGTAAATGATAGAAATACTAGATTTATCAGCAGTAAAACAAGTATTTTACTTGTAAGGTAGCTACATTTAAATATGTAATGGAAAAAGCATGCCCAAGGCCAGTATCTTCTGAGTCTGCCATCTGATTTAGTTTTTGCTACTCTATTTGAACTTGAGACTTAGGTATCTTTTTAAAACTTCTTACTACAATAAGCAATCCTATCAATCTGGTTGATGCCTTGAGTGGTTTAATTTTCAAAATTCTTAGGAAATGCCTGTTTTCTTTTAGGATAGGAATCAAAAGATAAATAGCAATGATGTAATATTGGAAATATAGACAATTAAATGTAGATATTTATATTTTCATGACTTAAAAATTTCAAAGTTTTTAGTGTAAAATCAGGCACTGGATTAGCAGCCAATTTAGTTGTGAGGTGACTGAATCTAGTGCTCCAAATGTACTAAGGGAGTTTAGTTTATGAGCTCTTTGAGGACCTGACAGTGACAGGTCACTCATGTGTATGGATTTATATTATATACATTGCCTAACACCCGCCCCTCAGGCCCTCTTACAGAGGAGAAAGTAATGTAACTATTATTACAGAGATTATAGACTAGGCTAGTAAGTACTGAAAAGTTTCTTGTATTGGTGGAGGAAACACTACACAAAGTAACAAAAGTATTTCATATTTTTTTCCCCCAGTCTTCTCAGTGTTTTGGATGTTAGTGGAAAGGTCAGATTACTAAAGTTTTTTTTATAACTCACAGAATGAGCTACCCACTTGTTAAATAGTTAAGTTGGCAGTACTGGGGTTGTGACTTAATTACTATTGAAATTAAGTTTTACTTTTTGAGAAATTCAAGGCATTTGGGTTTTTCTCTAAACACATCTGGTTTCTAGTTTAAATTGTATTTTTTCTATATCTAGATGATTTACTGTATGAAAGGATTTAACTGTGATTTTTGTAGTGAGTGACATTTCTTATACACCTAAAATAGGATTTACTTTACAAATCAGTTTTGAACCTTTGTAGAAATCCTTATGCAGTAAAGTAAGATGATATTTATAACTGGATTTCTTTTTACTTTAGTCCACGCATAGCAACTTGTATTTGAGCTATATTTCAGACTTGACCTATTCATAAGAGTCTTCTGGACAAAATCTCTTTTTTAATGGATTCTAAAATCAAGTATCCTGACCAAAATTACTACCAGATATGTAGTATTACTTACTTTAAGACTTGGAGAATTGCAATAATTGCACTTCATTTAAAATACAAAGTTATTTGTTAATTTCCTTTTTTTTTTTTTAAAGATTTTATTTATTTATTTGACAGAGAGAGACACAGCGAGAGAACAAACACAAGCAGGGGGAGTGGGAGAGGGAGAAGCAGGCATCCCTCCAAGCAGGGAACCGGGGGGCTTGATCCCAGGACCCTGGGATCATGACCTGAGCAGAAGGCAGACGCTTAAGGACTGAGCCACCCAGGCGGCCCTATTTGTTAATTTTCTAGTAAGTTGAGCCTTGAGAGGAAAGCTAAACATCTGTTCAGTGAGAATGCATGCTTAACATTAATGAAATATGATCCTATTATGTAATGCAACTAAATGGCCTGGTAGTTTTTGAAATTTGAGCTTATAAAGACTGTGTGTTTAGCAAAGAGAAGAAATGCAGGTATAATCAAAAGAATGAAGTGCAAAACTCCATTTATAGATCTTTTAGCTTTTGTAAGTAATAATCAATTGAGTGATTGCCTAGTTTTCTTCATCAAGTTTGTTGGTATAGAACTGGGCTCTAGGCTATGCAAGATGGTACTTTGAAACCAAGCCTTAATTTTAACTGAATAGAGAGCTCATTTATATGGTAAGATGTAATCAGTTTAATGTAGAATAAAGGATGTTTTAATAGATGACATTTAAAATTTTTATGCTTTTTGGAAATATAAAAGGTTTAGACACTAGTGATTTTGGTAGGTGAAAGATTAACCAGGTGTTCTCTTGCAAGACAGCCTGACAGCTTTGTAACCAATATGTGACCAGAAGTGATAGCCAAGGGTACTTACTGTTTTTCATACTACTCCCTAAAGTCTTTGCTCTTTATATCTTTTCAGTTAATATACTGAAAAAGGATGTATCGTTAGAGAAGATAACATTTCTTTTTAGAGCAGTGCAGTGTGCCTCTACATACAATATTCAGTGCAGCTGTTGTACGGAATTTCTTTAAGTATTTTGAAATAAAAGCATTCTTAACTATTTTGTAAGTAAAATCTTTCTTGGGGCTAACATCTGAAGTTTTTCTTCTTTTTTTTTTTTTAAGATTTTATTTATTTATTTGACAGAGAGAGACATAGCGAGAGCAGGAACACAAGCAGGGGGAGTGGGAGAGGGAGAAGCAGGCTTCCCGCAGAGCAGGGAGCCCGATGTGGGACTCGATCCCAGAACCCTGGGATCATGACCTGAGCCGAAGGCAGACACTTAACGACTGAGCCACCCAGGCGCCCTGAAGTTTTTCTTGACAGAGTTAAAAATCTCTGATGTATTCGTTTCTCCCATTGGTTGCATGAAGTATTTCTCTGCAATGCAGAGGGCAAGAGTACTTTGTTTTTGCATTCACCTTGTCACAGAAAAAAAAAAAAAAGCATTTATAATGCTTCATTTGTTCCTCTCTTCCTGCCTGGGTATGTTGTGTGTGTGTGTGTGAGAGAGAGAGAGAGAAGTATTTAAAAATTTGAATTTAAAAAGGAAAAGATGTGAATTTCCTCATGTGATAATACGGGTATCTTTTTCTTGCTTGAAAGTAGAATCCCAAGTATTGTGATGAGGATGAATTGGTTTAACCTGAGCATGTTATTTTACTCCAGATAATTCCCATGAGGCAAATATATCTGTCCGAATACATTTTGTGTGACTTAGAGATTAATTTTACGTAAGTAATGTTTAGTTTACATTTAGGAAGATTAGTACTGTTTCATCTTTTAAAAAAATTAAATACTTTCAGATGTTGAAATTATAACAACATGGTGTTAATTTTATTACTATATTGTTAATAGAATCTAAGATACTTTAATACCTTAAAGTCATCTTAAGATTTGGTCGAATTCATTAATCAGTCTTATAGGGCCTGGTAGAATGCTCATTTCTCAATCTGTATTACAGAAGAGTAAATTGAGATGCTCAGGTAAAATGACCCAGTTTGGAATGAGTGAATTCCAAGGTCTCTTGTATCATGGGGGTAATTAGAATTTGTAATGCTCTGCAACATAAGTAAATTTTCATGTTTAAGCTGATCCTTTAGAACCAAGTGAG